ACTGAAACTAGAGACTGAGACCATAAACTCATCGGGAAACTGTTTACTGAGCTCATAAATCAACTGAGAAGAACGACACATTTCTCGATAAGACTGAATGGTATCTGAACTCATGGTGCTGCCCCCTGCTGGCCTTTAGAAAAAATGCAGGTTTAAGACACTTCACAGACCCGGAAGCTCTGTCCACTAATTATATACTGTCACTGCCTGCCACCCAACTGTTTGTAGTCAAGTGGCATTGTGGGTACTGTATAATGTAGGCACTACTTACTGGTCACTATATTCTTTTTTATTGTATATAGTGTATATATATTATATGTTCTATTCTATATTATTTGTTATATATATTATATATATGATATGTTATTCAACTTACACACCTTACTGCAGTGATGTACAGGTGAACTCTAGGACACTGACATTACTGCAACAAACTTCCAACCAAAGAGGACAATGAAACTCTTTAAAGTCACTCTTGAAATGTACGGATCATTATTGAGAATCTGTCTGTCAATAGATTAAACTGTTACTCACTAATATGACCTTGTCTTTAATCCTGTCTCTGTTCTTTTTATGACAGTGAAGCTGTTTCCAGTGACCTGTGAGTACATCAAAGGAGAAAAACAGTTCTACTATAGAGCTCAGCAGTTCTACGAGGACGTCCCCGCCTCGGAGGAGGGCATGCTGGGAGATTTTGTGGAGATAGGCCACGTTGATCTGGAGGGTTCCCGGCAGTTTCTGAAGAGGTTTGTGGTGAGTCACGAGATACCGACTCACCTTCAGATTCACAGCAGTTTAAAGGCTCAATCAGATCTAAACTCATACAGTAACATCTAAGACGCTGCACCCATCGCTGTGGCATACTGTACAGTACTGTATTGATTTACACTGCTGCAGTTATCTCTGAATATACATGTCAGAGTCTATTTTGGGCGAGGTGTTCGTCATCCTGACTGTAAAGAGAATTCCATCTTGTTTCACGTGATAGGAGGCCTCAGTTCAGTTTCTAATAGTAGCACAGACTTGATGCCAGCCCCATAAACACCCAGACAGAACAAACCGAGCCAACAGCTGTTAATCACTTTGTGCCATGGTCATTTTTTACTAGCACTAATTTGTTTACAGCAGAGATATTTTCAGCTGGTATTGTTTTCACCTTGTGTCACCTACTGTAGCAAGAACTACCACTCAGGCCAGTTTGAGTTCTTTGCCAGGTTTTGCTAACTTCTGATGCCGTTACAGTCCTTTACAGGTGTGTAGTTGAGATCAAAATTAAGACCGAGTGTGGTCCGACCCACAAGTACATGTCATAATGTAGAAATGACTACGGAGTGAGAACGTCAGCATGCAGAGAAGCTAGTGTGACGATTGGCTGTAATTCTTGGTCTTTTTGGCTGAGATTTATCATCAGGGTTCCCATTCTTCTTAGGAAATAATTTTCCAGGAGTTTTTCTTGACAATACAAACGTTCTCACAAATGGTCACATAACTTATATTTATATGACCATCTACAGCATTTAAACTGGTCTTCTGAGAATCCTGCTCGTGCCTCTAGAAAAAAAAAAAAAAGACTCGACAGCAAAAAGGCCGCAGTGAGTCGTTTCCGCTCTGCGTCGAGTGTGAACAGCTATGGATGGAGATACAAGCCAAAAATGAAAAAAGAGAGCATTTTTCCACTTGGCTGTGCATCTGGTAAACCAGCTTTAAAGTGTCGTACCGTGCAGCCTAGTGAGTGAATTTATTCAACATAACATACCATATTCAACATAAATTATTTCCACAATATTTGGTCAGTTTAATCAATTTCCAGGTGTTCCCATGACTAGTCTCTAAATCTCCAGGTTTCCCCAGAATGCGTGGGAAGTGCTATAAATTGCAAGTTTGTGGATAACTGACCTAAACGGATGCATATTAAAAGAAAAAAATTACATTTGGGGAATTTTGGGAACCTATTAGCTTTAAGCCAAGAGTTAAATGAGAAGATAACTCTTGCTAAGTATGACGCTACTGGCAGCAAGACTAGAAACAGCTACCCTATTATAGAATCTACATACAAGCACCTCTAAAGCTCACTAATGAATGCATAATATTTAATTCATACAAAAAAACATGTAAACACGACAATTTGCTGTTTTCTGTACTATTTCTTGGTCTGAATCACTAACTTCCTGGAGTGCATGCTGGTTGCCTGGTATCTAGTCTTGGCCAAGACTCTGACACAAATCCCCATAAAATGGTGAATTATTGTTTTTAATTAAATAAACAAGATATAATGTGTTAATCAGTGAGCTTTAGAGGTGCCGTTAGGCAGATTTTGTTACCTTTGGGCACAGCCAGGCTGGCTATTTTCACCCTGTTTCTCTTTAAATTAACCTGCTGCTGGCTGTAGTTTCATATTTTGCAAATCTCGTGAATACAATACAAAGTCAAACCTTTCCTTTAAAATATATCATCACCTTCTTACACTTATACATATGTGTGTCAGTGTGGACTTTTTTTAGATGCTGGGAGAGTCCAAGTGCTAATCAGGGGAATGGGTTTGGCCCAGAGACCGGGTTATTTAGAGGATCAGTTTTACAGCAGCTCTAATTATAAACTGCTAAGATTGGATGCTTTAAAGGAACGGCACACAGCTAAGTGGCTACTTGTGCACTGGTGCTAATGTAAACACAACAAACATTGATTTAACAGAGCTCAGCTACAGTGTTCACCACTACCGGATAACATAGTACAGTACATTGCCATTGCCATGAGAGCATGATAAGTTACAGTATACTTCATTACAACAAATTGGATGTAAGTAATCATTGCATAATGATAAGGGCTGTATTATTTTTCTTATTGATTCATCTGTTGATAGTTTCTGGATTATTTAGTCTGTAAAATACCAAGTATATTTTGCCACATTAGTACATTAGAATACAATTTGTCAAGATAACATTAACTTGGATCCCACTGAAATGTACTTTGTAAAAGGGTAAAAAAAAGCCCAAAGAGTTAGGGTTAGGGTTATATTGTGTTTAGTTTTAAGGTTGTGCTGAATTAGAGTACTGGCGCCTTTTTCGGCCAAACTCCGGCACTGCTTTAAGAGTCACGTGGTAGTAAACTTCCTAAGGACAAAGACTAAAAATAAGTGAAATGGTAAACCCCAAACAATCTTCGACTGTATCTGACTTTTTTGGGTATTCAACATTGGAACTTTGACTTTGGTTTAGCACCACAAACAAAATACTGGGATGGCGCATCCTTTCAAAGATTTGACTTTTAAAAACTGTGGGGAACTTTTTTCGGCTTCTAAAGTTTGAGAACCTCTACTTTAAAGTTGTGTAAGACTAAAAGAACTGCATTTAGATATAGTTGCTTCTGAGTTAAAGTCAGTGATGTTTGCTTCAAGTTGGAGTTTTTGCTTTTTTGTGTGCTTCTAATGTCCACAAATGACCATTTAACTCCTCACTTAAATGGAAAGACCCTGAATTAAACCATAACGTCCACCAAATCTTCTACAAATTTGCACTCAGCAACACATCATCCTCTTCCAAAATCTCCCCCTGGCTGTGAACTAGCTCCTGTTCAAACCTGACATCTCCATTAAAAACCCAAGTGTGGTAGGAAAAGATTTAGAACACATCCAGATTAAACTGAGCTACATGCGCACGGAGCAATATGGCAGTAATTCACTGAAACCAGGAAGCGTCCTGTAACAAGCACAGAGCTCCTCAGGGCCCCATCTTTCATACAATCACACACTGGGGCCCCTGATGCGGAGGGGTTGGAGTGAGGTCAGAATACCAAATGAAAAGGAAGAAAAACCAGCATGATTCAAGTGAGGTGACTTTTTGTTCCCTCGTGGTAAAGTTCATAGTTTCGTTGCCCTGAAGGAACTGAGGTCTTCTTGTTTGTGCTGTCGGTGCTTTTGAGGTACAGAGGCCTGACATCTGGAAATACAGAAAATAAAGAATAGACTCCTCTATGACTTATAGAAATGGTAATAACATGCTGCAGGGAAACTGACATTTTGTTTTCTGTGAAACATAAATCCAGCTCTTCTTTTTATGATTGCCTCAGTTTTATTACAAACGACCTTCAATTGAGTTGACTTTATCCTTTTAGAAAAACCTCTACATAAGGTTGAATTTTTTTTTTTTTTATATTCATCCCTTTTTTTCTCCGGCAGGGTCCCGGTAAGGCCGGTACACACTGTGCCCTGGACTGTGGCTGCGGGATCGGCCGTGTGTCCAAAGGCGTCCTCCTTCCCGTGTTTGAGAAAATGGAGATGGCGGACATGATGGAGCACTTCCTGCTCCACGCGCATGAGGAGTACCTTGGCGACGACGCTGACCGCATCGAGACCTACTACTGCTACAACCTGCAGGAGTTCACGCCTCCAAAAAACAAGTACGACGTCATCTGGATGCAGTGGGTGGCATGTAAGTATGAGAACAATCTCAATTTATAGCCTGTTCATTATTATATAGAGACATTTTAATTGTCATCCATTCTTGAAGTTGTTCATTTGTACACCTGTCGAATGTTGAGTTATTAAAGAGAGATTCTCCTGTCATTGTTCGGTCTCATTTCAACCCTCCCACCAGAGGAAATGTTGGTGTTGGACAGCAAAATCGGATTATATTTAAAGCATTTTATAAATTAGTGATTCTTTTCTGTTTGGGAAAGATTGTGGTTATTGCAAATAAACTATAGTCATTGTTCAGCGACTGATACGCAAACCTTGTGCTGGTTCAAAGTTGGTTCAACTGGTGAACCTTCTAGGAACCGGATTAGAGAACCATCATAGAGCCACGTCATTATGTCACCGTATGTCTATGTGTGTCCAACATTAGCTATTGTTACAAAGCAAGTTGGATCTGCAACATGCCCATCGACCGCCCTGACCACAGCCTTACTTTGTGGGATGCTACTTAAAGATTACACTACTGTTTGGCATTGGATGGAAATCGCTCCAGAATCATGTTAATGTAATTCAAATAGATACTGAGCTTCTCTTTTTTTAGGTGAGACTACAGGTATCTCAGTTTTGGTTGCGTGGTTTTTTTGCCTTCATTCCTTAATCCATCTTTCTCTTCAGGCCACCTAACAGACAAGGACCTGATGAACTTTCTAATTCGCTGTAAGAAGAGTCTGCGGCCAAACGGTGTCATCATAATTAAAGACAATATGGCACGGCAGGGCTGCAAGCTGGACCCTATCGACAGCAGTATCAGCCGCCACCTGGACATCATGAAGTGCATCATCGCCAAGGCCGGCCTGGAGATCCTGGCTATTGAGAAGCAGGAAGGTTTCCCTGAGGTCATCATTCCTGTCTGGATGATTGCTATGAAATAGAAGTGACATTTTTACCGTGAAAAGATTCAGGTTGTTGTTGCTCAATTTGATAAAAACTAAGAGGAAAATCCAATCTAAAGCTGAATTCACATGTTATTCCACTTCCAAGTCTAGATTTGTGATCAAGTCAGTGTCTGGCATTCCTGATTTTTGTCCATGAGTACCCTTACTTCTTAGTGCGTACCTCCACTTCCCTACCATGAGCACTGCCGTACCCACCAATGAGGTCACCAAGGTGTAGACCTCTGTAGTTTTTAAATAATTGCCTATACCTTACTTTGATACTTTGACCTTGCTATGTGTAAGGGTACTCCTAAATGCACGGAAAGCATTAAGCTAGCTCGCTGTAAACACATCTTTCTTAAAATGGATTAAAAACAGCAAAAAGCACCTTTTCGGGTCCAATTCAGACACTTGATTAAGTCTTTAAAAAACTACAACACAGCAAGAAATCTTGTCATCTGGAGATAAATCCTGAAGCGGCGGTGTGGATGGCGTAATGGCACCCAGGGCGATTTTATGGAGACAGGAGTTCTCTTTCTGTTCAAGCACAGAAAAGAAAGAAAGCTTTTATGTAGACATCAAACTTCTACAGAAGCACTCTGACTGTAATTTACAGTCAGTCGGCCACTTCCAGGTTGTGTATCTTGATGACATTAAAGATAGACCCTCTAATATGTAACTGCGGGAGAAGCTTGTTCCTGTCTGAACCATGACGATCATTGGAATAACATGTGCAGTCAGATTTACTGTTGGAATTGATTATTTATATCCGTTTTTGATATTAAATCTAACATGTGACAGCACAACATATCAACAACAACATTGTTAGATTTGTAAAACTTAATTGCTTTTTTTTTCCGGTTACGATTAACATGTGAGCTGTATCTGGATACGTAATCTGAATGATGACATCTGATTACAGATTACAGCATTTACACTATATTAATAAGGCTTGTGATCGCAATCAGATCACAGTTCAGAAGATTAGCAGAAGGAGCTTATAGACATAAAGACAGTTTCTAAATAGGCTAATGCTACTTCAGCTGGTTTCAGACCAAGCATTAGCTGCTAGCACAACACACCCCAATCTCTGAACTGTCTCTGGTTGAATTGCATTGTTGGTAATATCCGTGCCAGGTTTCGACAAGGAAGAAGAATACATGGAATAAAAAAGACCTCGGCCTTCATGGATTAAACATTTTTAATACAAAGATTCATAATTCACCTAATTTGCAGTTTGAGGTCTTTGGAGAAAATGCTTTTTCAGCCACAGGGGATTTTGTTGCTTTTGCAAACTTCTATCGCCTCTTATTGGCCATCTCACCACTGCCTATACATAACCAACAAGCCAATCAGAGGCAGAGTAAGGCGGGTCTTTTCCTTTAAAAAATTACCTTTCAAACACGTACATTTATTGTAGACTAAAACTTGAAAACTGTATGTTGAGCTCAGTCTCTTCTATAACCCAACCAGCTCACAAATCATATTTCAACTTCCGTCAGTTTTCTTCATGTTTGTGCTGCAGCCGGATATACTTGATGCTGTGTGAATTTACATCTGCATTAACCTTTCTGTTCCAGATACAGATCACATGCTAACAGCAGGTGGAGATATGCTCTTAAAGTTACCTTTCAGTACGACATGTAGTTCACTTTTTATTGCAGTAGAAATTATGTTTATTCAGTGCAGGTTTGTCAGGTGTAAATATTAATTTAGTTTTTATGTAAGTATGTGTTTTATACTTTTGCTTGTAATATTGCACATTAATAGACATTTTTATATTGATTTTCTGTGCAATTAATTCTTTGTAGTGCTTAAACTTTCCAGTCAATACATGTCTGTGCATCTTATTGTATATTTGCTTAAAATCTGCTGAAGAGGTTTAGTTGCATTGTTTGTCAAAAATAAAAATGCCAAACTCAGTAAGCTTATGGATGCAGTTTTATGATTTTTCTTTTCATATATAGTTTTTCATCCCGTTCCAAACAAAGGCAAATAGGATTAGAGATGGGTAATCACCGTTTGCTATTACAATCAAGGCTGGAACATAAATGCTGACCAATTTTCCTTAAATAATCCTACAGTACAACCCGTCCACACCCCTGACAGTGACCGCGCTGCAATCTTCCAGAGTGGGCTCAAAACACACGAGATAATTGAGATCCTCTCAGATCGTTAAGTATTATTACTATTATTATTTTTTTCAGGCTAACAGCAGAAGCAGCACATTGTTTTGGGCTAATGACTTTCAGCTGGGCCCCTGAGGTGGATGGTGGGCTTGATTATTTCCTGGTTTTGACAGACAGTGCCTGCTTTCATATCTGCCCTGGCTTCATTTCAAGCCTGTCAGATGTTGTCTGCATAAAACACATCCAGGAGTCACCTCAAATATTCAGCATTTGCGTGCGTAAGCGCTCGACGGGAGTGGTGCGGAGTTGTTTCTCCCTGAGCTTTTTATGAAAGGATAGTTTGTCAATGAGCAGACTGGCACTGAGAAAGTACAAAATCATCAAAGTGTTGAAGGCGCGATGGCGTGAGATGATCTCCACGGCATGCTTCTCTCGTCAGAATGACTCTTTTGAGATGTGAATACACCCAACACATTTTCCACATCCCGTATGAATTAAAGATCAAAATGCCCCAAAGTTAAACTGGTAGGTATTTTTTTTCTCTCCCCCAGCAAATAGCAGCCAAATGTGCTGTCACCTTTTCAGGAGTGGTTAGCGTCGCTGACAGTCAAGGCTATCATTTCTAATACTTCTCAATGTCTTCTGTAGCCGCTCGGCAGCAGTTTGAATACATTAGCTGGAGTAACACTAATTTGTCCAGTCACGTCAGCAGAGCAGAGTGTTGGGCCTGATTCCAGACTGAGTATATCTCAGACAGCTCATAGATACAGGAGGAAGACAGAGACCACAGGGGGATGAAGTGACCAACACGTATTCAGGGCAAGCGTGATCGCCTCAACGTGCAAAATACTGCTGTTCAACTTAAAGCCAGAGCTCCAACTCTATAAGTTTCATCTTACGCAGGCTGTATACACCAACAATATCTCAAACTAGTCTGTTTGAAAAGGTGAACATTTTAGATGATGTTCAATGTTTACTTGGTTCAAGAAAAATCATAGTTTGGACTAAAATACAACTCAGTATCACGGCAAAGCACGTGATACACACACCGGACAGTTATCAGAGAAACAAGCTGAGCTAACGTTAACAGCAGCTCAGCTCGCAGCCCCGAAGGAACGTTTTCCATGTACTTTTCACCCTGTTTATCTTGTGTCTGGCCTTAAGTTCACTTTCAGATCAGCTTCTCATGTTTAAAGTCGGAAAAAGAGACAGAAAAATACGATTTCTACAAACCTAAGTTGAAACATAACTACAGTAATGGTCCTAATATCTTCTGTTTAGGAACATTTAACACATCGTCAAAAGAACTAACTTTTTATCCAGTTTTAGCCACATTTACACTTTTTAGATGATTATCTTTTTAAATGGCTCCCACTCTTTGACAATACATAACAGCACTTGATCATTAACCGTGGTCAGCCATTTAAGGGACACTTTGCGTTAGCTTGCTTTCGTAGCATGCTTTGCTGTTCTCACCACAGTCGATATTTCTGCTTTCTGAATTAACTACAGTTTTCCTCTAACTGTAACATTGATGATCCCACATTACTTCACAATGTCATCAAACTTTCTTTGTTTCGATGTGAGGGATGTTAATACCCGTTGTGTCGTTCACAATATGACCAAGGATACAACCCCGCTGTCTGTGGTGGTTGGTGGGAAATTTGGGAACTCTTTTAATATAAATACTCATCTTAATGAACCTTTCCTCTTGTATCACCCTCTGGACCAACTCAAGTAAAACGATAGAAAAATATAAAATTTTTTGTTTTTTTCTTATTGTGGGGTGTTATGAACACTGCAGCCTCTAGGGGGTGCTAACAGTGCTTTAGCCTCTTAGTCTTTACTCTTGTTGTGAAAATGCAGTGGTCACACTGCAGCTTCCACCCACATGTGAAGATAGTAAACACCCCCAGGAAGCAGCCGAGGGGTCATATTCCCGAGAAGAGCCACCAGCTCAGACAGCCTGAGCTTTCATCCAGAACAGACCGAATCTTTGTGGAATCTGCAGTCGAGAGAAACCTCAGTCAGTCTCTGGAGCCAGGATGGTTTCAACAAGACAGAGGAGCCTAACCTCCATTCCCTGGGAGAATCCATACCAGAGGAATGTGCTTTCTCTTCATCTCCAGTTCTCATAGTAAATCATGTCACTGAAAAAAAAAAAAAAACTATGATGATTTTTGGGCTGCTTTTCCTTTGGCTGCCCGTTCAGGGTTTTAACTCTCCCAGCATGTCGTCGAGGGTCTGAGGGTGGTTTTTTTGCCACACTCAGCTCTCCTCAGCTCAAAGGGCAGGGATTAGTTACACAGAGTTTTTATAGGCCCGGTCCTGAACATGTAATATTTCACCCAGCAATGTGGGTTTGGAGCCTGGATCAGGTGCTGCTGACTGTAAGGGTTTAATCTCTGAGTCAAACAATGGATGACAAATGATGTCTGCCTGTAAGAGCATGTACTGTAGGTCTTACCTTCAGCTTAAGATACCCTAAGATTTTTAAAAGCTGAAAATAAACTGTGCAATACCAAGAGGAGGAATCATTTGTCTTCCCAAAAATGACCTTCCTGCCGAGCAGCGCTTGACGGAAAGCATTGCTCACAACAACAAAATAAGGAGGAATTTCTTCCCATCTGGAGCTGGCGCGAGAGGCATGAAGTGTGATTCACTGTGACTGTGAGGGAGCAATGCTGGGCCAGTGTGCTCTTGGCTATATGTGCAGACACTGAGGCCTGCACACTGTAAAAGGCTGGTGTAACATTTCTGCATTGTACATGTGTGTATGTGTGAATTTCTGTCTGTCTTTCAAATATATTTCACAACACAAAAAGTTTGAAAAAAATAAATAGAATAAAACTGGAAATTGAAAAAGTATGCTGGCACTACAGTTCATATGCTTTTGGTACTTTTGGTCTTGGTTAGTTTTTCCTTGACTCCTTGGTTCAAATAAAGGTTTTCTTAATGATACAGCATGGTTATGGTCAGGAAAATATTGTGTTTAGGGCAAATAATAAATTGGTTAAGGTATGGGTTGGGGTTAGGCAACTAAAAGTAAGAAAAAATGTCTTCGGGGAGAATTTTCCTTATTATCTCAGTCACCTGGAGGGTCGTGTCCCTGTCTGTGTTTGATTGACAGCAGCTGGCAGGCTGCCAGAATGCTGATGTTAAACCGTGGGGGAACAAGAAAATGCTGGTGTTACACAATTGGGAATGAGAGAGTGTTGGTCATAGTGAACAAGAGAGTGTGTAGTCATGTTTTTAAGTTAGATAAGAAGGAGATTTTAGCATGAAGCTGATGTAGGTTGTTGTTCAGAGTGGCTGCTGAGAAAGACCATCATGATTAAAAGTTGTGTTATTAGTGACTGTACGTCGAAGGGCGTGTCCGTGGCGTGACGTAGAATTACCATATATTACCATGAAACAGGAAGTTGTCATAACTTCAGTGTAAACTGGGGCTTACTCTGTTCACTCCATGCAGTACCAGTGGTAATGGTGTACCCTCCTTATACCTTGTGGAAAATCAAACAAGACGCTGTAATAATGTTAACGCTATATAAACAGGGACTTTTTGTGGCAGCAAAGACCATTGTATGTCAGCCATGACAGCTTGGGGTGATCAAAATTAAAATAAAAGCAGCCAGATTTTTCACTTTTCATGGGCAGGCAAACAGGGCTAAAAGGTCTACAAAACCCCTTGAACTTGAATTTCCCAGACTCCTTGCAGACAGTCCAGAGGCCCTCTGGTTTTTCTGATGGTTGCTAACCTGTGTCTCTGAAAAGAGGCTGTGGTAATGTGGGAATGGCCTGGGGAAGGAGTGTGACCTGGGATCCTGGGAGACTAACCACAAGTGTAGTGGCTGGGACAACACCAGACTTCGGCAGGTATTGAACAGAGGGCAGTATTTTCTTGGGATTCTCCTCATAATGCACAAGTCATGTGCTTTTAAGGCTTCCATGGAGAGGAAAACCAATGAGTTAAATCTGTTTTGTGAGGATAAAGGAATCAGAATCATCATCATTAGTAGTCATTTCTACTAGTACAGTTGTTGCTATTATTGTTGCTGTGCACCTTTGTCTCTGTCCTTCTCTCTTTACCACCCATCCCCTCTACCCCTCTAACCCCAACTGGTTGAGGCAGACGGCTACCCACCTAGAGTCGGGATCTGTCCGAGGTTTCTGTCTCTTAAAAGGAAGTTTTTCCTTGCCCTCATTGCCAAGTGCTTGCTCATGGTGGGAACTGTTGGGTCTCTATAAGGAGTACAAAAGTGGTACTCTTGACTGTGTGATTCCTGGTAGTGGGGTATTGCGTTGGTGCTCTCCTCTGATTTTTGTGTTGTAGAAAGAAAAAGACCTTGATATAGATTTGATCGTAGCAACTTCCAAGTCAACATTGTTGTGAGAACGTTCAGGCCCCTGAAGTCAAGGGTGTTGACTGGAGACTTACCAAACATACATGTGTTGATGGTGGGGGAAACCTGCACAGATATGGGTAGAGCATGCAAACTCCACTCAGAAAGGCCCTGCCCCAACCAGGATTTAAACCCACAACTTCTTGCACTTGATATGGTGTGTTTTAGCATTAACTGCCCTGAAGTCCACACAGAAGCAGGGAGTGCCATCCTTTTAGGGGTCAGAACCAGTGGGGAGGCCCAAGCAGAAGTCGATGGTTCTATGACACCATTGCTGAGCAATTTCTTAATGTCTTCCTCAATAACTACTTGTTTTTGTGGTGATACTCTGTAAGCTCTCCTTCGCACTGGCAGCTCATCTGTGGTCAAGATCTTGTGCTTTATGACATCTGTGGCATCTG